GCTACTCATTCTTACTGTTTGCATCCACCAATTTCTTCTTTCTACTTGAGGGTTTGATATATACTGGACATCTTCGACTGGACATCCGCAAGCCCTATCAATCTCGACCCGCTCCCGACCATCTGTCAGAGAACTACGATTTGCTCTGCTATAACGCTACCAGAGTCTTTGATAAAAGTGTTTTCGTCATGCAAGATATCCTATACCCATTTGCTATTGAATTCTACATTCTCTCGATCGGAATATTTCTTCATCATTGGTTTAATCTCGTGCCAACTGCAAATAGGCATTCAAGAACGGCTATACTGAGACGTGATACTGTTGACGAAATTAACTCAGACACAGCCACCAATCACCAGCGTAAGATATGTGGTTGTTTCTCCGCTCTTCTACTTGCTGTCGTTCTGTCGTTGCTAATGATCGGCTCCGCTGCTTTTCTTTTTTTTCAAAACATTGTTGGTATAGTGGTCAACGTATATCACATAATTCGTCTGATTTATCAGAGTCTGTTGATTATACCAGTTTTGTTGGGTGTCCATTATTTGTCGTATTTTCGTTATGACAGAAAACCATCTCTTGACGGAAGTGAAATGCTTCTTGTTAGCACCGTAACGGGTGCATTTCTGGTTACAGGCTTCACGGTCCTGACGTCCTCGGCACTACTGCACCAATTCGCCACTTCCGATGACTTTAACAGGGAGGTGACCAAAGACTTTGACGTGACCATTACGGATTCTGTCTTTTGTTTGATATATGCCCTTGTACACTACATCCAGATTACGATCCAAACGTGTTTCTTTGTTTCTGCCCGTCGCCGAGTTACGCCAAGATGCGAAACCATAACTTCATACCGACTTCGGGAATGCTTCTTGTACATTGCCGTTTGTAATGCGTTTATCTTGGCTACGGATACGTTTATCGCCTTTCATACCTTTCGTGTCGAGTCGCCAACAAACACCTGGTTTTTCGGCGCTCGAGATTGGAGCATCTTGGAGAGCGTTCTGTTTCCTGTATCGGAGCTTTATCATTTCCATTCTGTTCTTTTGTGCAGCGAACTTTATTTGAGTTTCAAAGTGGATTGAACTTTTATAATAGGCTTCCGTTGAATAATTAGTCTTGTTATTGTATGTGAATATCTAAGGTCTAGGTACATTTTGTAACGGAACTTTATCGCATTTGAAACAAAAATAATTTTACCCTTATGTAAAAAGCTGCACAGGTTAATAGATAAGAACAGTTGTCATCAACGTACAGTGTTTCGTTGTCATATTGAGTGGTAGTTTATGCTAGGTTATTGTCAAAGCATGATGAATGATAAAAGATAAAGAATAGGCCTAAAGTGAATAATGATAATGATAGCTAATAGTGATGATACTAATATTGATAATTACGGTGATAAGTTATAGGCATAATAATAATTATTACCGTATAACTATCAATTCAACCCGATTTCTATCTTGGGTCTATATTTAGAATTTACAAACAGACGCGTACAGAAACAGGCGTGCGAAAATTTGAGGAAGTAGTATTTCTAGATGGCCGGAAAAAAACACTTTTATATAATAAAATTCATCATCATCACATCACCATCATATAGTCAAAATGAAAACAAATTTCTCATAATGTTTTATCAGGGATCTACTTAATATCCAAGACAACCTAAGCCTAACAATAGCTTACTAAGCTTTAACTATACTATAATAATTGTGATCAACAAATCACAATATACTTTTTCGCCTTTAGCACAATTTTCTTTACTTTTTAATATTATTATTATTATCTATTATCACCATCGTCATCATTATCATTGTCATCATCATAATTATTATTATTATTACTACTAGTAGTACTGTAGTATTAAAACAAAACTTTTATAGAGCTTTCAAAACGATAAAAACAAAACTGAACTATACAGTATCACATTTCTGTATCTGAAAGACCTGGCCTGGGACTTACGGATTTAAGATTTTAAAAAATCACGCTTACTCACATAGGCCTATGTGTTATTAAAGTAGGCATCCTTATGTATAACGTGTGCTGATGCATATTTACATAAATTAGAAGTATTTATTTTGAGTGATCCTTGGAAAGAATTTGTATCTAGTAAGAACAAGCTTTAAAATTGTAACACTGTATCAAGGCTCCCCGGCTCCCCCTCCCCTGTATACGTCCCTGTTATGAGTAAACATCAGAGGAACACCTGCGCTGCACCTGGTATAACTAAATCCGGCACTCACTGCGCCCGACGTCCGGCACGATTCTACGGAGAATGCAACGCCACGACGCGCGCGCAACGGATCAATTTTTAATGACGATTTATTCAAACTGCCACCGACAATCAGTAGACGGCGTTGCGTCGCCCAAGTGCTGACAAGGGGCGGAGTTGCCAGGATTCGTCGGTCGGCGTTCTTTATCGACCGTCCTACTGCGCAGTCAATGCCCGGCATAAGAACTATTTTTATATTATGGTTATATGCATACTTACGGTTGGTTTTACTTTCTGAATAAAAAGGAATAAATATAGACATGATGTAACCATCACTTTTCAAATTATTTTAAAATAAACTCATCTGGATTGAAATGAATATTTATAGTATATTTCATTTTCAATGATCACAGTAAAGAGCCGCAATTTTTACTCACATAGGCCTACTACGTTTCGTGAATGTTCAATTCACTTCTTCAGGTAGACTGGTGATGTTATAGTTAAATTTTTACTGCGCAGTCAATGCCCGGCATAAGAACTATTTTTATATTATGGTTATATGCATACTTACGTTTGGTTTTACTTTCTGAATAAAAAGGAATAAATATAGACATGATGTAACCATCACTTTTCAAATTATTTTAAAATAAACTCATCTGGATTGAAATGAATATTTATAGTATATTTCATTTTCAATGATCACAGTAAAGAGCCGCAATTTTTACTCACATAGGCCTACTACGTTTCGTGAATGTTCAATTCACTTCTTCAGGTAGACTGGTGATGTTATAGTTAAATTTTTACTGCGCAGTCAATGGATTTTAGCTATATTTGCTATATATTTTATATTTCTTGTTTTCCTAAATCAGGATAGAAATTTTGTACAAATAAATTTGTTCTTTGTTTTTCCCGTCACTGCGTTTTGTTTGTTTTTTTTGGGGTTTTTTTTTTTTGTATTTTTTATGGTTTGTGATGTTTGACAAATTAAATGAAATAAAAAGGTATTTTTTTCAATAATAATCAATATAATAATAGGCTTACAATAGGCCTAGAGTGCGAAGGGGGGGGGTGGATGCATCTCCATGACAGCAAATTTCTAAAATGACCCTTTTGTTTTCATCAGAATGGAATAGGAGGATTTACACTTTGATAACAGCGTAGGAATCCTGAGTATATATCGTAAAAATACACATACATGTCAATATATCATTATGATAGCTTTGCACCATGGAACCAACAGATTTATTGGATTCGTAGTTTAGTTTCAAGAGCCCACAAACTCTGTATACTCTCGATAAACTTCAAGCTGAACTTTGTAACATTAGAAAATTTATGTCATGGTATGGGTACCCTTTAAAAGTTGTTAACCATGTACTCAATAAATTAAATGAACCTAAATGTATACACGAATGTAGGTAAGAATGGCCCCGGAAAAAATCGCCCCAGAAAAAATGGCCCCGGAAAAATGGCTCTGGAAAAAATGGCCTCGGTAAAAATGGCCCCATATGACAGGTAGGTAAAAATGGCCCCAATGAAAAATTCGGTAATAGAAATGATATATTTTTTTTTAATCTTCAAATATTTAAATACTGTATAAGCAAGAATTGAATCAAGAAATAAAAAATGGCCCTCAGTTATAAAATTCCAGAAAAAAAATTAATAATAAATAAATGCTGTAAAATACCCTGTAGCAAAAATTTAATTAATAAATCAACATAAAGAATATGCATATTTGAGAACTAAAATAAATTAGTTTTTGTTACAATACTGTTACTTACAAAGCAACTTTTTAAAAAATAGTAACATTGCATGCGTTACAAAAGATGCTGTTAAATTAGTATTAGAAACTTTTTAGTAGGAATACATATATACAGTACAGTAAAATGTACAGTAGTCAGCGAGTTCGTCAAACAAGGTATAAAAAAAGTCTCGCCTTGGGTAGCATCTTTTTAAAGAAAATCATTAATTTCATTTAAAAAAAACACAAGTTACTGATTGTTTAATAATTCTATTTTAAATAAGAAATGATTATGCACAGTAAAGGTAACATAGGACAACATAATTTTAAAAGATCATTATATTAGCGCTACTGAAACTGTTAATTATTTCAAGGTTTTATCTAAGTGCAAATCCAAGTTTGATTGCTTAATTAAAGAAATGCTTTGGATCAAAGAACTGAAACCTACACTTAACAAACCATAGAGAAAATAGAACAGTCTGTTCTATTTTATTTTCTCTATGGTATTGGCTTAATAATATTAATAATATATTCAATTATACAGTTGCCTTTTTTGATAACTTCATCTAGGCCTACGTGGTGTGTATTCGATAATGATTGAGAAATGTGTACTCCTAGATATTTATATATTTCACTTTCTGAAATATAAATAACCATTTCCTAGTCGCTATTTCCTATGTACGTTAATTCGTTGTCCTGTAATTAAAACATTAAATTTGTCATAATTAAAAGCTAGTTTCCATTTTTTAGAATTCTCTCGCAGTTAGTTTAATAGTAAGTTCAGGTCTCGATCATAATCTGCCCGTCAAATACTTAAAATTTAAGACCCTGTCGATTCACCTCGACTTTCTGCGATCAATTTCAAAGAACAACCGATTGATCATCTCTTTGTGTCAACCTAAATTACTCTTTTGTATGGATAACTGAATTGTATCGACTTGTAATGTGATTACGTTGCTCAATTGATTTATAAGCTCTATACAAACATAGACCTACTTAAAAATGGATACAATCAGATTGATTATCCCGATACCGTGGCCACAAACGTTTTGAAGAGTTCAAAAGTAACCAGAAATATATGCTGAGCTTTATCAGTAGGTCGACATCGTATGATATGTAAAACAGGAATGTGTGTCTTGTATTAGAAGTGTAATATTTAAACGAAAGAGATGATGAAAATGGTTTTAAAAAAATAACAATTAACATACCGGTAGCGAATAATTTGAAACAGAGTATAATTGAGTGCTTGTAGTTACTATCCGAATATATCGATCCAATGGAGGCCAACATGTTTGTTTTCACGAGGCCACAGTCGACAGAGGCTCAGAATCCTCGATAGAACCATTTAATATACGTCGCATCAAAAGTGCTAATTCTGCCACCAGAAGCAGACTGAAGAGTGCTACACCATTAATTTTGAAACAGAAGCTACATAATAGCACGACAGAGACATGCCTGCATGCGATGAGTGCTGAACATAAAAGGATCATCGGGACTTTAAATAGATCATCAAGACTCGATAAAGCATCAAAGGATCGTAGAACTAAGAAATGTGGTATACAAACGACAAGTTTCAATAGACATTTTTCATAGAATATTTTGCTGTTAATAAAGTAGGCCTATATTTGGAATTACATCCAATCATCGTCTTCTGTGCAACATATGCCTACTGTGAGTATAGATGCAGAAAATGACGGTGGGAATTATTTAGAATAAAATGAAGACACTAAAAAGTTCAGTATATCCGCTCCTATACTGACAGTCTCCTGACATCTTTACACTCTGTAAATTCTAGTGAGTAGAGTCTGTTTCATCAATGTGATGTGAAAATGTCATCCGATGAAAATGATATCAAAGTCGGGGCAGTTGTCTCAACCTACAGTAAAAAAAGAAAAAATAGCAACACATTTGCAAATCTAAAGACCTCATATATGTCTGCTTTTCACCAAAGAAGTTCAACAGCGTTCGCCGGGTCAGTGAACGGCTCAAAGGCGACGCATGAGCGAAGGCGGTACAGTGTTGACTTGGGCCTAACGCTTAACTCATTTCGGAAGGCAAGAAGATCACGACCGAGGAGAAAAAGTATACCACAGGTATGCACTTTATATTTGCCTAGAGGTATAGGCCCCTACTGTTATCATGTTTTACCTACCGACGTTAATATTGCTTTAACATGCATGCTCTAAAGTTAAAAGTTGAATTTTGCTTGACCCCTATATGTAGTTAATCCATTTTTGGAGTGTCTGCGGCCGCCACCAAAACTCCGAGTTTGGAGGTTTTGCGTAGCCTGGCCTGTGCGAAAACTCCAAAATCGGAGTTTTAAAATTTTTAATCAAACCTCCGATTTCGGAGTTTCTGTGTACGCAAAAACTCCGATATCGGAGTGTTGATTACAAGTTTTGCTCTCCCTTTCTCTGTAGAGAGCTTGATTAATTAATAGTACGCAGAAACTCCGAAATCGGAGGTTTAGATAAAAGTTTGAAAACTCAGATTTTGGAGCTTTCGCGTATAACGCAAAACCACCGAAATCGGAGGGTTGATTAAAATTTTTTCTCTATTTATATATTATAGGCCTATAGAGAGAGCTTGTTTAATTAATAGTACGCAGAAAATCTGAAATCGGAGGTTTGATTAAAAGTTTGAAACTTCGATTTTGGGGTTTTCGCGTATAGGTACGCAAAACTTCCGAAATCGGAGTTTTGGCGGCTGGCGCAGACACTCCGATTTCGGAGCAACAACATACCTCACCACTGACCTTAACCGTGGTACGTGGTCGCAGTAGAAATGTACAACTCTCCTATACGCTATTTGCGTCGCATTTAGCGTTCAAAACCTAGACTTTCGGAAATAGAGACGAAATATTCAAAAAAATTACAGTAATATAAAGTACACAAACACAAATAATCAATAAAATACAGGACAAACATGTGAAAAACGTTATTGATGTATAAGATAATTAAATAAAACTGTTGAATGTATATATATTTGATTTTTTTTTAAATACTCACTACCGTAGCGCTGCAGCTGCTTTGCAATTTAAGTATACCTTTTAATTAATTAATATCACTAGATAAAAGTTTAATTTTGTCTACCGCTGCCGCCGCATGCCGCTTTTGCGCTCAAAGTCGAGTGGGGGTTTAAGCGTACCAATGTTTATGTACGCCAACTTTAGCTGAAAGAGATGCAGATATTGCTTTGCATCCGTGAATAGAAATTTGGTAATTATAGTAATTGTTTCCGTTGTATTTTCTTGTAGGGCATAGGCCTAAATCCTCGAGATTATGAAAAGGTATGTTGTGTACATGAGGAGCTCTCAGACCCTACAACCGCAGCCGTCACACCGGCACATTTAACACTCCTGTTAAACGTGTTTGACACTAATATTATCGTTAATTTCCGTCACCGTATGTTGACAGTGCGAGAACGGACGATGTCACTGATGTTGGCTGATGAATGACAAAATGAGCGAGGTCAGGGGTTCAATACCTCGATGCATTTCGCTTGTGTCCTTGAGCAAGGCACCTTATCTGCATTGATTCTTTCCACCCAGGAGTACAAGAGGGTACCTGAGGATGTTCGAGTGCAAATTGCGCTGATATATTTCTTGCAGCAAACTATGGAATTTCCCCCATAGGCATCGTTCCAATGACTGGGGTAATAATGTGGAAAAGCGCTCTAAGACTTAGTTGTATATCGCTATATACAAACATACATATTATTATTATTCCCTTTTTTTTCAATACATAATATTGATAGTCAATTCAATTTCAATTCAGCTTAATTCAATTCAATTCAAGGATTTTATTCAACAAGAGCGACCGCTCACCGGTCCGCGTGTTCCTCCACGCTTAAATACGGTACAGGCGCAAGTTGTAGGTATAACGACTTGGCCGGCGACTGTTCACAGTGTTTTATGTTTATTGCTTCGTCATGCATTATAATTTTTCGTCATTTTAAGTGGTCCTATTTTGTTTTACAATTTAAGCCCTATGCGAAGTTCAAACGAGTCTCGAAAACAGTTCGGGTCATTGCATCTATCTGCCTGGCATTGAAGAGGTAAGTGCAGTACTGCTTATAGGGAAAAAAGAGCCTACATAAGAAACATTGTAGGCCTAATATATTATTTATTCTGTGTATCTGATAAATATATAGTTCATACTAAAATATTTCAAATATTATTATAATATTTGATATGTTATTCTTAAACGCCGAACTCCAACAAAACATACATCAAGTTTTAATGACATTTATGAAGTTTAAATTATTGGTTTTCATAATAAAAATTACAACAGAGAGTCCTTTCGTGTGTCTTAAGCGTAATTATCTTTTTTTACCGCGTGCGACAATATAGGCCTTTATACTCTAATGTGAGTCTAGAGCCGGAAAGGGCGATTTAATCCATCTCCACTTGACGCGATGCCATCTGCTCATTTTCGGTTGGTTTACGTCTCAGCAGTTCGTAAATTTCCGCTCCGCGCGCCCCGTCGCATTGCGTTCTCCATGGAATTATCACATCGGCAATCTGACAATTGTACCGGTATTCGTTTCTATGGAATTGCATCGCATTGAACTAAAAACTGGCATGACTTCCCAAAAGGTGATTACATTATATTTTAAGCTAACTTGTATTTCAATTTTCGTTATAATTCGCTGATATATATTGATTGCAGTTATGTTAAAGTAGGGGAGACGAAGTTATGGTCGCTAGTAGAGATGCAATTGAATCTGAGAGCTGATATGGAAAATTGTGTAGCATTTGATCGTAGTATGTTCGCTAACTTGAGAGTTGTAAGTGAATTTATAGCTTAAAAATGATTGTTATTGATTAATGTTATTGTATTATTCTAAGCTTCATATATATATGAACCTAAGGTGTGTAATTTCGTTTAGTCTTTCTTTAAAAATATAACCTAGCAAATAGGCTATGGTGTAACCATGGAAATATGAATAAAAATAGTGGCCTGATCTCAGTCAGTTTACTAATCAAAATGCATTTTTATGATTTTTTTTATTGGAACATTAATCAAGCTTTGTAGACTTCTGAATTCTTTAGGATAGAGGATCAGAAAAACTCAAGTCGATATTGACGGTGGCACCTAACATGAGGAACAAAGAGGATATTGATATAGTACGTGGGTTAAACGCTTTTCAAGAGTAGTCGACAATTTAGGAGGAAAATTTAATGAAAATAATGGCTTCATCTTATTAAAGATTCATGCAAATTCATGTTAGCCACAAAGTAGTACGTTTTGAATCAATCATGATTCGTATTCGTCATTGTGTCCTTAAATTTTAGGCCTATATTCTTGTATTTTTTTATCTCCCGTCTATCTGATGCAATTTGAACAATATAGTTAGCCTAATCTATTGATCTAAACATAATATTAATTGGCCTAAGACTATCTACATAGCGTCGCACTGGTGACACATAGGTTGATAGTAACGCAAGTGTAATAATCTCTAACATTAGAGGTATTTGTATGATAGCTCTGTCTCTTTAACATTGTTTTCAGGTTCTAGCGTTACTAAGAGGTAACACTACGTTTGGAAACTATGCCAAAGAAACTCAAATTTCACTTGCCAAAGTAATGTACTTCGTCACGTAAGTACCTTTTAAGGCATGCAATATTCTGCTTACAAAATGAATGTGCATGTAAAAATGATTTGTGCTAAGAATCTGCAGAGTTACTATAGCAGTTCATACTTCTTAATTGATTGATATATCTGTAGAATACTGATTAATTGATTGATCGATTGATTATTTGATTGACTGTATTTTGATTGATAGATAGATTGATTGATTCATTCATTGATTCATTCATTGATTGTTTGATTGATACGGTACGCTATGTAAAAGATGAATGGACATAGATAAAAAATGTTAAAATATATGACGTTAAATTGATACACAATGTATTTTGCTAGAAATGGCAATGCGTTTCTTTTTGTTACCAATATTTTATTAAACTCCGACAGATATGAACCAAGGCGAATTATAATAAAAGAAGGCCACCAAGCGTCAGCTTTTTACGTAATTTTATCGGGAACTTGTTTGGTAAATCAGAGAGAAACTGATAGAACAGGAAATACATTCGTTAGAACTGTCGCTGAGATATGTACCGGCGATTCGTTTGGGGTGAGACATATTGGATTGTATTGTTAAAGTATTATATTGATGACGATGACGTTTATAGAGTGGGCAGTACAATATATATTATCACTTCGAGGGAATATTTTCTAATAATAATAACTAATAATAATAATAATAATAATAATAATAATAATAATTAATAATAATAAAAATAATACGGTAATAATAATAATAATAATAATATAATAATAATAATAATAATAATAATAATAATAATAATAACTAGACTTACTATGTCTGTTTGTAAAACAGAACAAGGCTTTTCCTCATTGCTATAATGACAAGTGATGTTGAAATTGAAAAAGTCTTGAGTAAAATACGGTAACACACAAAAAACGAAAATAAAATCATATAAAATATTATAAAGTTAACACACATTAAGAACAACTCGACGACAGTGAAACTCGAACTACGACTGCTAATATC